GCCGTGGCCCGTGGGCAGGCGGGCGGGCGTGCGGGCCGGCGCGCTACTTCCCGGAAGCACCTCGGAGCCAAGATGGCGTCTGCCCCGACCCGCGAAGGAAGGCAGCGCGCAGGCGCCTCCCCCCAGCCGGCCAATGAGAAGGCGCAGCGGGAGAGACGCACGGCACGGGCGGAAAGGAGACTCCTGGGAAATCCGAGCGGAAGTCCCGGCTTCAATCCCCTGCGGTCCTCGGGGGGCGCTTGCTCTGCCCGCCGTGGAAGTGATGACGTCATCTTAGGCATTCTCGGTCCGCGCCGTGCTTGAGGGGCTTCTGAGCCGCTCTCCCGAGAAATGGAAGCCCGCCGACCCGGCGCCCCCGCCGTCGACCCGCCCGGTATCTCCCCGTCGTGCGGCGCGAGCGGCGGCGGCGCGTGGCTCTCTGGGACTTGCAGTCCGGAGCCCGGGAGAGCGCCGCGGGCCTGCTGGCGTGTCCCAGCGCCCCCTCGAGGCACTTGCCTCGTTCCCCCTTGCGAGAGAACGACTTCGTTTCCGTCTTCAAAGCCGCTCGGTGGGCCCGACGGCGCAGGTCGTGGCTTCCAGAAGGCCGCCCTGTGGAGCCTCGGGGAGGGCGAGGCTGGACTTTCCCGGCCCGACGCTCCGGGAGCACAGGGCGGGCTGAGGAGCTTCCTCGCCGGTTCGTGCTTCCGCATCGGCTGGCGGCGAAGAGCCGCTTTTCTCCACGTGACTTCGAACGCGCGCCATGGTCCCCTGTTGACGTGTGAGCCGGCCAGAGACCCTCCAGATCCCGGCTCGCCATCTCGAGAGTAGTCGGTGGCGCTTAGAAGTCTGTCCCTGCTGAAACCAGCTAGACGCGGAGGGGCATGCCTTCTGTACCCCGAGGGACGGAAACTCCTGGTGGCAAAATCACCCCAACTACCGGCCGTGCCACCGTCCTCCCTGTTAAAGGCTAGGGTGAAGCCACCCTGCCAAGACACTGATCGTATCTGGGGTTCTCTCCGCATTGCAATAGGCTGAGTGGAATTACCTTGCTTGCTCTTTTTTTTTTTTTGTCCTAGAGAAGGAAGACCTTCTTACCTTTTGTGGAGGAGGGTCGCCGGAGGTGTGGGTTTGGAGGAAAAGGGCCTTTTGTTACTAGTGCAGATATATGGCCCTCTGCTAGCCGGTCAGAATATGCCGGCAGAACCCAGTTACAGGTTCCTGAAAAGGACATGGGAAAGGAAGAACAGGCAGGAATGTTTCTCTCTGGAAGTTTCTAATTTTTTTTTTTTTTTACAAGAGAGTTTGTGGGTATTCCTTCCTGATGTAGTGGGGACAGTGTTGCATCCAAATCCTGCCTTTTCAGCTGTGGGAATGACACCTTCCTAGGCTGTCTTGAAAGTCAGAAAACAAAAAATAGTACCGAGAACCAAAGGGACAAAATTAAGCTTCCTTCCATTTGATAGAAGAGACCTCAGGATTTAAGCTCTTTTCTAAAGAGAGGGCGAGACTGTACCGTGTAAATAGAGCAGGATGAATAGAGCAGAGTTCCAGGAAGAGGTTCGGTGAAAGAGAATCTGGTGCAAATGTTGCCTGTAAAGACATTTTACTTTACCAGAGATCTAAGACCAAAAGCCATAAAAGTGATTGGGTTATAAACAATGCAAGTGCCAGAGGATAATTACCGAACTTTAACTTAAACAACTGTGTTTGTGGTTTAGAGAAAGAAAAGATAGAAGCACACTGAACCCACAACAACCTGCCTAGCTCTAGAAGGCTGCAAAGAAGCCTCAGATCTAGTATTGGCACTCAGGAAGCCAACAGTTTAGTTAGTGAGACAGGACACACCTTTCAAATCATTGTAGAATTGAAGCAGTGTGCTTGTCAGTGTAAATGCAGCTTCAGAAGAGTTTTCAGAGCATCTTCCCACTGGCTGGCTGTCCCTCGGGAACTCTGGTTAGGAATTCTGCAGCAGCACACATGAGCCTTTCTGAGTCTTGGCTGCCTTGCCTGTTGGAAACTGCCGTTTCCCCACCACCCCATGCAGTTGTCATACTTCACCCAGTACGGCTGATCCCTTGTGGTAGTGGGGAGGCACCCAGAAGAGGATATTTTCTCCATCAAGTGTACTAAGGACAGAGGAGAGAAGGAGGTGAGCTTGCGGCAGGCCGGGACACCTTCGCCATTAACAGAGAGCCTGGAGAAACTGAGTTCCCTATGTCAGTGTAAGAGTCATTTGCTAGCCTCTTGAGACATGGTGTCCTACTGAGTATGTCCGGAAGTGAGAGGCCACAACATGAGGAACAGCCTGATGCTGGCAGAGTTGTAGACTGGGGAATCAGAGCCCAAGTGGGGCAAGTTGCCAGCCTTCCGTGTGTCTCAGTCTCCCCATGGGTTAAGTGAGGGTGTTGAATCAGATTTCTTCTTCTTTTTAAATCTTTTTTTTTTTTTGAGTCGGGGTCTCACTCAGCCCAGGCTGGAGTACAGTGGCACACTCATGGCCACCGCGGCCTTGACCTCCTGGGCTCAGGCAGTCCCTCCACCTCCGCCTTCCAAGCAGCTGGAACTATAGGCACGTACCACTGCTGCTAAGTTTCTGATTTATCGTAGAGACGAAGTCTCCCACATCGCCTAGGCCAGGGGTCCTCAAACTACGGCCACGGGCCACATGCCGCCTGCCGAGGACATTTATCCGGCCCGCCGGATGTTTTTGCCGCCGCTGCCTGTCCCGCCTGCAGCCGACTCCGCTGGGCCCGCAGTGCGCATGCGTGGAATGTGCCTCGCACTCTCCGACTCCTCCTCTCAGTCTCAGTCTCGGGTGTGGTCGGACGTCCCGAGTTTGCCTGCGCAGAGCCTGCTGTTCCTGGGGCCGAACAAGTTAGGATTTACTTTTTTTGAAGTCAGGAGGTCTGTTTTTTTTAATTTTGCAGTTAGTAGGGCCTTTTTTTTGCCGTTAAGGAGGGCCTTTTTTTCCCTGAAGTTAGGAGGTCTATTTTTTTTGCAGATAGGGGGCGCCTTTTTTTTTTGAAGTTGTTTAGTTGGTTGGGGGTGGTTTCTAGGGAGGTTGCATCACAGTGATAACACAGATAGTCAGTGATCAGTGCTCATGCAAATGGTTTTTTAAACTATAGTCCGCCCCTCCAACGGTCTGAGGGACAGTGAACTGGCCCCCTGTTTTAAAAGCTTGAGGACCCCTGGCCTAGGCTGATCTAGAACCCATGATTTCAGGCAGTCCTCTCACCTCTGCCTCTGAAAGTGCTGGGCTTATAGGTGGGAGCCACCGTTCCGGCCTCTTTTTAAATCTTAATCCTTATTGCGTTACTCAGGATTCCTTTTCTTTAAATTTTAAAGATGTAGGATATAATTCAGGATTAGGAAGATAAGTGGTCATGGTACAAGTAAAATTTAGGCCTCTCTTTGGTCCCCACTTTGCCTGATTTGAGATCAGGTACCCTTGTTGTTGTTATGTGCCCCAATTCCCTTTCCTGGTAGTGTTTCACTTCTGCCAAACCCTTTCTTATAGAATTATGATAAATGTTCAGGGTCTGCTTCTGAGTGAGAACATGTGATACTTAGTTCTTGGTTTCTGTGATAGGTCACTGAGTATGATCCACATTGCTGCAAAGTCCATAATTTTTGCCTGCTTTATGACTGTGTAATATTCCATTGGGTATATGTACCATGTTTTTTGTTAATTCACTTGATGGGCAGAATGGTTGGTTCCATGTTTTTGCTATTGTGAATAGTGCTGCAATAAACATGCGTGTGCAGGTATCTTTTTTTTTTTGTGAGCTGGAGTCTCACTCTGTCACCCAGGCTGGAGTACAGTAGCATACTCACGGCCACCACAGCCTCAACTTGCTGGGTGATCCTTCCACCTCAGCCTTCCAAGTAGCTGGAACTGCAAGCATGTGCCACCATGCCCAGCCAATTTTTTGATTTTATTGTAGAGATGAGGTCTCACCAAGTTGTCCAGGCTGGTTTCGAACCTGTGGGCTCAGGCAATCCTCTCACCTCAGCTTCCCATAGTGCTGGGATTATTGGCAAGAGCTGCCGTGCCCAGTCAACACGTATCTTTTTTATAGAATGATTTGAGTTCCTCCAGGTGTTTTTCCACAGGGAGGACTGCTGGGTCGTACGGAAAGTTGATTTTTAGGTCTTTTAGGAATCGCCTCACTGTCTCCCACAGGGGCTGTAATAGCTGGCACTCCCCCAGCAGTGTGGAGGCATTCCCTTTTGTCTGCATCCTCTCCAGCATCTCTTGGTTTTGAGTTGTTGGTGACGGCCATCCTGACTGGAGTTAGGTGGTATGCCAGTGTGGTTTTAATTTGCATCTACTTGATGACTAGGGAGGCTGAACATTTTTTCATGTATCTGTTGGCTGCTCATATGTTTTCTTTTGAGAGGTGTCTATTCATGTCTTTTGCCCATCTTTTAATGGGGCTGTTTGCTTTTTTCCTTTTGGCGCGTTTGAGTTCCTTGTAGATGCTAGATGTTAGGCCTTTGTCAGATATACAGGTGGCAAATATTTTTTCCCATTCTGTGGGCTGTCTCCTTGCTCTCTTGATGGTTTCTTTGGCTTTGCAGAAGCTTTTCAGCTGATGAGGTCCCATTTGTCTATCTTACCTCTTATGGCATGGGCATTTGGGGTTAAGATCAGGAATTGGTTGCCTATTCCAATTTTTGTAAGGGTATCTCCTGTGTTTTCTAAGATTCTTTTTTTTCTCTAAGATTCTTATAGTTTGAAATTTTATGTGTAGGTCTTTGATCTGTTTGGAGCTGATTTTTGTGTATGGCAATGGGTAGGGATCCTGTTTCAATCTTCTGTATGTAGCCAGCCAGCTTGCCCAGCACCGATTACTGACTAGGTTCTCCTCTCCCCAGTGGTTGTCGGTGGAGGCTTTGTTGAAGAGGAGTTGTTTAAGAAATTGGGATTTTAAGCCGAGCTCGGTAGCTCAGCCTGTAATCCCACGCCTTTGGGAGGCTGAGGTGAGTGGATTGCCTGAGCCCGCGGGTTCGAGACCCGCCTGGGCAGCGGGACCTCGTCTCTACAATAAATCAAAAAAATCAGCCGGACCTGGTAGCGCATGCCTGTAATTCCGGCTACTCGGAAGGCTGAGGCGGAAGGATCGTACTTCTATATACTAGTAGTGAACAATCAATCTGACAAAGAAAGAAAGAAAGCAACTTCCTTTCAATCGCATCTAAAATAATGTAATACTTAGGAAATTTAATCACAGAGGTGCTAGTCTTGTGTGGTGAAAACTACAAAACATTGCTAAAAGAAATGAAAGAA